AGTTGTGAGAGGATACGTTGAGTTTGTTTATAAATGTGTAGTGAATTAAGTATTAGATTAAAAGTGAAAAAAAAAGGAAGGGGGGGGGGGGGGGGGGGGGGGAGGCAAAACCAATTCTGGTTCAATGGTAGTTCTAACATGGTTTGCATGTGATAGCATATCACAATCTTTTTAGGCATTGCTCTGTATATTATTAGAACTGTCCACCACGGGTCAAAACATCTCCTAGGATTCTTGCCACTTCTGTAACTTCTGTAACTGGAGTTATGTTGAAACCTCCAGAGCAAAATCAGGTTCAGGGTTGGCATCTGATTCTTAACAGCTTCTTTTTGCACAGCTGATCCTCTGTTCAGTAGCACCATTGCTGTTTAATGCATCTTCCTCCATGTACCTTCTGGAAATGTATTGATTTATTTAGCAGCTTTCTGCTCACAAGCTCACACTGGAACCGTAAAGAATTCTGCACCAGAATATGTACAGAGCCAGATGTTCACAGTTCTCAATCCCTTTCTTTCTTTCTTTCTTTCTTTCTTTCTTTCTTTCTTTCTTTCTTTCTTTCTTTCTTTCTTTCTTTCTTTCTTTCTTTCTTTCTTTCTTCAGCAGACATTTTGTGTAATCGAAAAAGGAAGAAGAGTTATCATAAAGGATTCCACATGGCAAAGAAAGGTGAACCACCACTGGTTTTGTCAGGGCGGCAGGTCCCAGTGAATTATTTTCTGTTCTACCACATACTACCTGAATATCTGGAGGCCAAATGTTGAGACAAATTCTCAAGGAAAAAAAATATGTTATTGTGGCATAAACTGGTGCACTTGTTTGTGGAAGTGAGGTTACATTCAAGATTTTCTGCAGGATTTTTTTGTTTCATGCTTAAAAGTTCTCAAGTGGAGGCTCATAGAAAATCACACAGTAGCAGGGGGCTGCCGGTGTGAGTCATGGCTGACTGAAGATGTCTCTGCGAACAAGTGGAGACAACAATATAAAGAATGAAAGACTGATGAGTAGACTGGTCCTTTGAACCTCTCCAGGGAAGGAGAGATTGGGAGATTGCCCATGAGTGCTCTGAATGGCAGCTTCTCACAAGGAGACTGTAAACAGTGGTCTCCTGCGGGTTGAGCACCAGGAGCCAAGGGAGACAACTTCTTTGCCCTCAGCAGCAGTGGAACCTTTCATAAGGACACTAAACCAGCCAAACTCACTTTCTAATTACTTTTGGAAATGTTCAATTTAACGACTTTACAGATATTAAAGATCTTCAAAACAGCAAGCCTAATTTAATACCTGGTGAATTTTGCCTTCTTCAGATTTAAGAAATTTTAAACAGAGTCTTAAGAATTTAAAATAATATACAATTGGCAAAAAGCAAAAAAAAAAAAAAAAAGATTTTGATTTAAGAAAGTTTTAAATGGA